GTCATGTTGACTGCGTAGCAATCTACGTTAGCTGATTAGGATCTAGTCGATGACCTCCTATTAGGATTAAAACAATGTAGGTTTTACTCTTAGTTACTTCCTTGCTTTCTGTTGGGCTGTAGTTTCTACTATTCTTCAATGAATGGTAAACGTTTGTGAGTTTAAAATTAGAACTTCGTATTCCATTTCTTCCACGTTTTGGGTAATTTATATCTATCAAAAACACCTTGAATTTTTTTCAAGCTGTATAGATTGACATGTTAACATAGTTCCAACTACTGGACCAACCATATCGAAAAACGTATGTATATAAGTAATCAGTCTGCTACATACCTCTATCTGTTTACAGCTTCTCAGGCAAGTTTTATCACAGTAAAACATCACGTGATGGAGTAAATACCTAACTACCTCTTGAGCGACGTACGTTAGCTGAACAAGGAAGAACAGAAACACTCTTCCAACTCAAACTGAAAAGCATAGTTATGACTAAAACCTGGCTCTCTACGGACTTCACGGGCGATGAAGTGAGCGTTCACGACACAGTGCTACCCGACTGTGATAGGAAAAACAAAATAGGGAGCGGTGTGGCGATATATGTTGACAGCATTCTCAAAGCCACGATGCCTTAGAAGATCAAGCTAGATGAGTTATCGGGCTGTCGCTGATGTTGCTTTAAATTGAACAACGTGAAGTACCTGGTCAAGGAAATATATTGTCCATCCCACACACAGAAGGAAAATGCACCCAAGGTAATACCGATGCTATCAAGCCTGAGATTTGAACGGATACACTTAAACGGCGATTTCGATACCCCATCACAGATATGATGTGATAGCGAGAGGGAGGTTTCACAAGAATTTCATTGGAGCCATAAAAATCCTCAGCATGACTTAGCATTAAGACGACTTTAGGAAATGGGGGAAAGACAAAAATCTTTCAAGACATGAATATCTTCAACAACCTAAATATAAATATTCGGTTTGGATGCAAAACTAACGAACCAGTTTATTAGATAAGGCTAAACAATGTTAATCTGTATGACGTACGAAGCGTTTTTGAGTGACTCTTATTAAATTATATCAAAGCACAAATTCTGTATTAAATCTGGACGGTTCTGATTCGAGAAAGAGAATAAATTATGTAAAAAGTAGAAAATATCTCAAACGGTACAGCCCGTGCTATACAGCCAAGGGATTTTCTAGGATAAATTAACATGCCAAACAACACAAGGAATAGTCAATAAACAAAAGAATTAATAGAAATATTCCCAACAAGATGGGACCAGATATCTATCTGCAATGGTTCCAGGAAACTTTCCAAAAAGACAGTCAAAAGTTAACAGGCATACACAGAATCTTGATTTTTGTCAAACATGACTTTGTTGTCTATGGTCCGGCAACAATCGACAGTAAATTAAGTGACAAAATATATATCTTTAACCAGGACCAAATAACAGAAGCCTCGATAGGGAAGACTGAAGAATATAAAGTGTGATTAACAAGAGACCTCAATAAGAGTTAGAATACAGGTTGAGGCGAGGAAACAAATAATCGGCAATTCTGTCGTATAATGTGTTTTTCCTATTACACTATCTACTACCAAATGACTAGCTTCTAGCCCAGAAGGTCCACGTTTAAACATCAGAAGCGAGTAAGAACCACAGCGCAGTCATACTTAACGTGATTGAACTAGAGAAAATATACGGGGACAAAGATGCACCATACCTTTGCTGCAGCAGTGGAAAATCAACGGCCACGAGGGAGAATTTTCAACACTATCCACATCCGTAAGCGTGATGAAAGCTAATACTAGGTGAGCACTGGTAGATTGTGAGGGATAGTGTCCAAGAAGCCATCCTTCACAATGTACGACAAGTGAAAAATACATGTGGAATAACGCACAGAATATCAGACACGGGCTACAAGCCAAGCCTGGCATCGATGAAAAGTTTCTCTATATAGGACTAGCAACCACAGAGAGCTTGGACGCCAGTTCTAACTACACTTCAAATCCAACTCTCCACTTTTATATAGACAACCTGATGCAATCACCCCAAAGTTGTTTCTTACATTGCTTAAGACAAACTCATGGCCTCACCTCGAGGTTCACAAAGTTCATTCACCTCCTCTCCTCGAAAGAAGCGTAAATTTCTTAGAGACGAGCAACGAAGTGGGTGATGGAGTTAAGGAAGAAATCTCACGAAGATGAACTCCGACAGCTAAAATAGTCCTCTCTGAGTTATATGGGAATAAGGAGTGACGTGACAATGGTACACAGCGTGCTAAGTACACGAAGTCATCCCTACACGAAGACCCTACCAGGACCAAAAACTCAGTCACACCTCCACTTTTACTTACTAAGATTTGCCCCGTTTGGTATGTTCTGCCGGCAGGAGTGCCCACAGATCTCAGTGGGCGGCTTCAAGTGAAGGCTTGACAAACATGTACTCACCCATGGGATGCCATCTCCCACTTGGAATGTGTCTGATGCATATTTTGTAATCTACCTACTACTGCCACCATCACGTCAGCTTATTTCAACCTCGTTTCTTATCATCACCATTCCCCTTTTTATTCGTACATTTTGACCTCTTCATACTGTTTGAACTATTAATTTATTTATTTGCCTTTTGACACAACCAACCTCTCTTAGCACTGGAATTTTTCTCTTTACTGTTTTCCACACAGCAACCAGCCGACCCCCTACCTGGTAGTGCAATAGCTGTTGGATCCCAAGACCCTACTGCCTTGAGACGAACGCACTCGATCGAACTACATGATACACAAACGACTACCAAACTGACTAGAATTAGTGCAGCCAAGTGGCTAGACTACCACCAATTGGACAATATCAATGACCTGGAGCTGAAACAAAACAACAAGAAGAGAACGCAAAGAAACCAATTGGTTTGCACACGTTGTGACAAAGACATTGGATATTGGACGTGAGCGAGTTTAGAGTTGGTTGTTTACATGTGTAATGTGGGTTTTCTCTGTTGTCGTCTTATCGTTTCTCGGTGTTTTAAGATGCATGGGTAATGCTACCAAATCAAAACTACCCATTGATTGTGTATGTTCCTCATGTACATTATTGGATAACAAACTTAGTCCCAAGTAGCACTTTAGTCAAACTAACATCCTTTATTGCCACCGATGGTAATAGTTCTATTTGGAACTAATAACAGATTTACTGTTGCCGGCTGATACGGCCAGACTTTATTTAACCTATGTACTTAGTTATCAGGATTAATGACCGGATATTATCGACGATGTACATATTAAGGGTAATGAGATTACATCACACGATGTACTTAATTTCTCTGTAATCTCAGTCCTTGTTTATTCACGACTATTTCCTAAGCCCTCGCTGGATGATAAATTTTATGTTACGTATGTCACCTATTCTGTGTTACTCGACTGTGATGTACATAAATCCAGTACTCGACTCCATATTGGCACGTGCTTTTATTTCCTGTTCCTCGTTTATCAGCATCTAAGTTCAGGTAACTCGAATGTGATTGAGAGACTGACTCTCCAGGCTGAGCTCGTCAGTGTTCCTTTAGACACAGTCTAGTGTATTCACGGCAAACAGGTATAATACGGTTGCCAAGTGCTTAATTCAAAATGGAAAGCTGAGTTATATATATATATATATATATATATATATTAAGTAGGACATCCAAAGCTCACTAGTAGTATTATGCAACACTGAGATTAGCAAGCTTTTTACCTAGATAGGGTGTATGGTGGTGAGTTCTGTATCCAAAACAAATTTTTAATCCCATGGGCTTTTACGTCAAATTCTTTGGACATCCAGACTGATTACTAGAAAAGAATGGTTTATATGAAGGCACCATAAAACAGTAGTTGCTTTGGATTTCATAAATCCGTTCAAATTATCTATTTATTTGAACACAAATATTGATACAAAACGGCACCGAATACATACGCGCCAAATAATTCCCTTGGTTTGTGTGTGGGCTGTCATACTGTTCGAGTGCCCAGACCGAAGCGTGTTGTTTTCTTGGGGGGCACACTACAAGCCTTCAACTTAAAGGTCTGATTAATAAAGCAGTGAAGCGACGTAAGGAGATGCCGTCCCATGGTAGCCTGTGAACATCCACTGGTTCATACGCCATTTGTTTCCTCAGGATCCTGGAACCCGGGTGCACCATTGGTTTTGAACCAGGGTTTCCCGACTCCCCCAGTTGAACCTTCCATATCCACCAACCCGGTCCAATCGCCGGACATTCCTTTTTCGTCCTCTCAATTTTGTAAACAACCCCCCTGGTGCGAGAAGCCATTGGGTGGGACTTCCTTGTTAATGGCCGTATGCGCGTGACCATGTGAAAGCATTTCGAGAGGGAGAACTGACTCTCCTTACCCTCTGCCTTACCAGAGCATTCGGAGTTTTTAAAATCGATTCAGAATACCATTCTACGTTAACATGAATATTTTACCAATGCTTTGTAGGTAAATCTAATCATTAAGGAGAATCGTTTGCTTTTATGGATGTATAACACAGTTACAAAGTTTCTGTCTCACTGAAAGTGTAGGACAGAGATGGCCAACTGAATACTTTCAAAGCATTTTTAATAAGGCTTCCCAATTTTATATTGAATCAAACCACTATTAAGTTCAAAGTTAGGTACCGTGTTTCAGATGAAAAATAGCCGGTCAGCTAGTCTACTTGCATCATTTAGAATGGTGATTGTCTATATTTTCTATTATCTTCACCTTCCATTTATCTTATATAGTAGAGCAAATAGATAAGTCTATTGATAAGGATATTTGGTGACACCTTAAATTTTTTGTAAATGTATCGGAGCCATGAAAAGATTCTCCGGAATAAATCCTTTGAGGTTATAGTTTTTATTTCTTTTGTTTCGGTCTCTTTCTGAACTATATTCGCAAGGTTCAGTTTTCGTCCACTAGGTGGATTCTCCATATTCACCAACCCGGTTAAAGCGCCGAGCATTCGCCTTTTTTCCTTTCACTTTTGTAAACAATACCCCCGCCGTGAGGTGTCAGTGAGTAGGACTTCCCCGTGAGTGGCTGTATACGTGCGACCATGTTAGGGCGGACTCCCCCACCCTCAACCGTACCAGGGTATTTCTATTCGGAGTTTATGAATTCACTCTCGATCGCCGTTAGTAAAACGTTCCAGTCCTCAAAATAATGTCATTCCTACTAATCCTACGGACAAATACTTTGCGCATTGTATAGGTTACCGGATTTACCGCCCTTTTGTTACTTACTTTCGCCTGTTACTCCCAATGGATCATGGGCTGCTGACCTTCATCCTCCAACCCAGTATTTCATGGGACTTATTTACTAGTCCCATCCAATTTTTGTTCGTTTTTCTCATGTCTGTGTCGATTTCTCGAAGTATTGTCTTCTTTGCCATTCCCTATCTCCACCTGTGACCTTGAGGATTCCATGGGAGGGCTTGTCTTGTGACGCAGTTGGGTGCTCTACTCAGTGTGTGTCCTATATACTTCCAGGGCCTCTACCTGATTTCTTCCTCCGCCAGGATATGATTTGCTTTCTCCAAAAATAGGTTGTTGTTGATAGTGTCCGGCCAATGGATCCGAAATATTTCGCGTACACAACTGTTAATACATACTTGTATCTTCCGGATGATGGCTTTCGTAGTTCTCCAGGTTTTCGCCCCATACAGTAGAACGGTCTTGACATTTGTATTGAAAATCCTGACCTTGGTGTTGGTTGACAGTTGCTTTGAGTTCCAGATGTTGTTCAGTTGTAAATATGCTGCTCTTGCTTTTCCGATCCGCGCCTTCACATCTGCATCAGATCCACCGCATTCACCAATGATGCTGCCCCAATATGTAAAGGTTTTTGCATCTTTCAAATCTTCCCCGTCAAGTGTGATTCGATTGTTGCATGCTGTTATATCGGAGAATCTTGATTTTCCGTGTCCCGCTTCACAAAACATTTATTACAGTGAAATTTCCCAACAAATTGTTCGTAATTTCTGGAGTTTTTAACTAAAGGAATTTTTAATAATACTAATGATAATAATAATAATAATCGATTTTTGAAAATTTCTGTAGAAAATCTGAATTATGCACAGACAAACACATATATATAAACATCATTCTTCCATCAAAAACAGACAAATTCACAATAATGAATTATTAAAGGAAAAAAGGGATTTGTACAAGGGAGTGCTATCAACAAAAAAAGAAGTAGTAATACGAACTTAATAATTTACACAATATAATTAAATGATCAATCAAAAAGAATGATGGGCATCTAAAAGTCTGTCATTTATGTTAGAGTATGTTTTCAATATAGAGAATCAAATTATATGACCGTAACATGATTACAAAATTAACGATTCCTGATTAATGATATTTTATACTGAAGGAAAACTGAATAAGTGATAATCAATTGTGACTAATTACTCCAAAAAAAGTTTATTATGAAGTGCATCATCCTAAATTAAACCAGTCGAAATGACTAGAATGTAAGATATTCGCAACTTGTGCAGAACAAGATGATGCAATGGACAGCAATAAAGGTAGATCTTCTGGCAAGCAACTACAAATAACAAAAAAAAGACAAAAAGCTACTATTTATACATATATATGCTATCTAATTAATCAGTGAAAAATGATCAATGTAAGTAAGTGACAGTGAAGATTTTATAATCTAGCGTTCAATCAAGAACTATGGGTTACTATACACTCCAATAGCGAGTTTTAAGTGGTGTATACGAAAACATTATTTAACAATCAAAGTGAAAATTGGTGTAGTACGATTATCAAAATCAATAACTTCACTTCCATGTTTAGTCGAATACAAAAATACGATCAATAATTGTCTCGAATTGTAGATAGAAATAATAGGATGTCTGGCAGTAGAAAGAAACAACCGGACGTTAAAGGAATGGTTAACCGCTAAATGAGGAAATTGGAAGAAAGAGTTAACATTGATTTTGCTGACGCATTGTGTCTCCATACAAGGAACAAGCAAGAAGTCACCTTTCCTGCTTATGTATTGTAGACAACCACGACTATCAATGCATAATAAGACCTCGCCACAACAACAGAAGTGGACGGTAGCAAGGTTAAGAAAAGAGAGGAGAGAGACAATAAGGAACATGGAAAAGAAACAAATATCAGACAAAAAGGCGAAACAGCATAAAAGGACGTAGAATCCTTTTGCGGTGGGGACCTGGTAAACTGTAGAGTATGGAAAAGTGACATATCAGGGGGACCAGGGTCAGGAAAGCTGATTCCGAAATGGGAAGGATAGTACAGTGTCACAGAGAGACGTGGATCGGTTTACACGACCCAGAGAGAAGATAAGCAGAAGCACGTAAATTCCAGTTAACTGCAGAGATGGCTTCAAGAGCATCATGAGTGCAAGTCACGAACAACACCAAAGAAGACAGTGGTACGGCGATCGGAAAAACTGCGGCAACAGCTTATTAAAAGGGAGATAAGTGCTGTGTGTGTTACTTATGTTGACATAAGTAGTGTATAACACTAGTCAGGAATAGAATATCTGGCAGCAGAAGGTTGAGAAGATCGAGGAGGGAAGAACGGGAATAGAAATGCAGGAACAATTAATGAAAATTTTGCAAATGAACTATTAGAGTATGGTTCTTCTATTTTATCAAGTAACTCTGTAATTTTGTGCTAAATATAATCGGTTGTTCTCACCTGTATTTTCTTTCGCTACAGGGTTAGTGGCTACAAGCATTGAGATGAGATAAAGCAACGTGCAGTGAAATACAAGGAATTCAGAAAACAACCGAACACTTCATAACGATGTTTTAAATTAGATGAAGTCATATCTTAAAAATAGCATCCTTATTATAGATAACGTGAAACAAATGTACGATTCCCAAGTATATGTTGGTTACCGGTAAATTTAGGGTTTTCTTACAACGAAGTCTTCCGTAAAATCTACTACTGAGCTGAATAATAGTAAATGTTAAAAAAATATTGACGCACTTTCACACGTATACATCACTTCAAACGATTTTCAAAATGGCTGACATAGATTAACAGGTTGGATTAAGTAAACGGCAGAATTATACTGGAGTTTAGTGTACAGAAATCTTTAAAGTTTATCTTATCAACTGTAAGATTTTTTAATCTTCTGTTATTGACGTTTAAGAACTTCAACCGATTAATGTCTGTTGCCATATGTACATCCTGAAAGGATTGTCTCGACATAGTGGCTAGCAAAGAAATCCAGAACATGAGTTTTTTCGTAACTGAAAATTGTCAGCTGAATGTTTCTACAGATTCAAAGTCAGTCACATTGTGAAGTCGGCTGAGAAGTCTAAAATAGGCGACATGGATACTGCACTTCACTGCTAACCATATACTAAATATTCTAAAATCGTTTTGTTTGTTATTATGTGTAACAGTAAGATGGATTCACACTAGTTGTTATACTGATACTAAATTAATGATATAAGAATTACATTTCACAATTCACATAGTGAAATAGAATAAGTTGAATTAACTGTTTAAAATTAAACATAATTGTAATTGATAATTCTGGAAATGAACTCTATTAACTAATCATATTATTTCAAAACAGCATTATTAACTAAATGGAATTACGATGCATACTTTAAAACAAAATGCACGTGATTTGGAAATCAGAATGAACCACTGATTTTAATGTCAAAATGTCACCACAAACACGTACATCACTGGATGCTTCTTGACAAAACAATATATTGAACAGAACAGACAACAATCGATATATATATATATATATATATATATATATATATATATATATAACAATGGAATAATCCAAACCCATACAAATAAATTCATATTCATTGAATAAGTTAGCGGACTAATTAAGTCGATGGACAACGTATTGAAGTTTTAAACAAAAAGGTTCGAGTCTTAATGTGGACATCAACACTAATGCAGGTAAATCCGGCTAATGGATCCAAGTACATTAAAATGTGCATCCTGGACTTCACTGTTACCCTAAACCCAAATATACTACATAGTATTGTTATTTATAAGTAATCAGTTTTTCAAAATACCCGGTCAACTCAGACAACCAGTTTAAAAAATGACCACAGCATTTTATGTTATCATCATATAAACCATCCTTTCAACTTTTTTTGCAACATGAGTTTAACGGAAGCCGTCAACGAGAAAATTAATTTAAATGCTCAACCTCTCGAAACGTAGACAGGGCAGTAATCAAACCTCCAGTCGCTAATCATTTATTCAATGTTACAATAAGTGAATAAAAAAATTCTAAAAAGTCTACGATATATCGTAACTTGTATGCATGAAAACTAATTTTAGTAAGCAAATATTAAAAATAATTAATGTCACTAACCCTGCAGCAATGGTCATCCGATCAACTCGGTGAAGCGTATTTGAGCCTTCTTTAACTAACAAATTTGTCAGTATTGAACTTTTAAGATAAATCAATTGCAGATTACCCTCCAGATGTTTCAGAGTCATCAGTGAACAGTTTGTTGCATCTAACACCATATGGATTTGTTCGATAAGACGAAACACCAAAGGAGCAGGTTTAATTGGTATAATACGCCGAGTAATACATGACCCAAGTTTACACTGTGGTGTCGTTAGAACTGATTGTTGTTCAAAGCGTTCTGTCTCATCCAACTTTAATTTTACACGATCTCGACCAACGTGTGTACCACTACTACTTCCAGCGCTAATAGTACAATGATGACTTAATTTCAGATTTGCATCATCTGATTCCTTGCTTGAAATTGAATCTGTAGATTTGGACTGAATAAGCGTTAGGGCCTATTTTATATTTTTTAAAAATACAAACAATTAGATTGTCTATTTTAAAACTGGGTAAATTTTCGAAAATTAATCCATCTTTTATCATAAGCAATACAAGGTGATATTCAGGAAAAATCACTGATTTCATAGATTACAATTACATCATGGTCAACAGAGGTTGTAATGATCAAAATGGATAGTTAGCGAATGAAATTCAAGTGTTAAATATTATTCCTAATGTGGGCGCAAGCAAATGAAGGTGTACAACTTTCATAATAACTATCCCATGGTAACTAACTCTCAAACACTATATCAATATGAAGAAACTCCTAAAAATCATATTTTTTTCCTACTTAATAAACAGGGAAACAAGACAATACAGAAGCTCCAATTCTCACAATTTTCTAGAGTATCGGAGAAAAATACCAACATTTTTACAATGCAAAAACAACATATATGGGGATAAAGATGAAATATGAAGGGTGACAAAACTGTTCGAGGCTGAAATGAAGAATGAAAATATGTACGCGAACGTAATTAGTTTTCAGCTGTGAGCGCAAATGTAGAAATTACAACCTATTAAAAATCTTACTAAAATAAATTACACAGCAAAATTATTGACTGAAGTTGGGAGTTATTCTTATGAGCTTGTATTTTTTTAACCAGTTTTACATAGCAAGGTTGATAAAAATTAGCTTGTGTTACTAACTGGCCTAACTACCCTAAATAATACAGATTTGCTGCTGCTTTATCAACTGGCCCATCTTGTCAACAGTCTTAAATCTGACTTCAAAACAGTGAACGCAGGTTTGCTAGATGCAAGCGACACTGAAGGAATCCATAATCAAGTACTATATATATATGCATTATACCCGCCTTTTAGAAAGCATTCAATTACCTACAGTAAGTAGTGGATTGGCAAAACATTTCGCAATTCATATTGTTATTAGGAGAGACCCAACCTACCAAACCTTCTAGACTTAATCTTAAGAAATACTGAGGCAGACTAGTAATAGTAAAGTTTTAACAAGTGCAAAACATGGAACAAACATGCCTAAAATCTCTGCGTAGATGACTTAGTATTCGTTCACTTTTGTCAATAAGTGGTACTTATTTTCTTAAAATACGGAAGGATGTCCTAGACACACAAATAACTAGTTATCAGGAATACATATGTATATTTAGCAGTTAGAGGTTAAAAACAGGTTTGATTGATGCTATAGATAAATGAGATCTAATGCGAAAGCATTTTACAATGTGTATTTCTTCATGATTACTGTTCCATAAATCACAATTCATCAACAAAATCGATCACAAAATTATCCAGTTTATTAGTGTATTGATACACTAACCAACTATTGATGTCCATATAACGACTATAAACGATGGTAGATTGCATGACAGATTTGATTTGTTAGAACAAATAGACTAACAGTAGTTCTCTAACTTTTATATGCCCTACATAAAAAAGAGATACTCTAAAAATCATATCACTTATTCTAAAGGCCAACTACAAAAATGTTAACTATTTAAATAATTTTAAAACATGAAAATACACAAACTAATCGGTCTTGAATACCATACCGGACGTATCAACTACTACCAAATACAACAGTTTCATTTAATTTTAAACAAAATTTCCATTAAAAATTCAATAAGATAAGCCATATATAGAGGGTCTAACAGCTTACATAACATTAATTCAATTTGACCTGATAACAAATAAAATGTATTCGTTTATTAATTCATATTAAATCACCGTGATAATATAATATTTAAAATGAACTAAAACAACAGTAATAATATTAGCCAGTTTAAAACACTAATGCCAATCATTTCAACCCATTATGTACACAGTTATTTATAAGGTTTAGGCTTAATTTATTTATTTTTTCTAAAAATTAAAAGTGGGTGATTCTAATAATAAATAAATGATCAAAGCTAATACGTGTAACATATTGTTAATAATGTAGAGAGAAGTGATCACTATCTTGTATACAGTCAGTTTTAAACATATGTATTAGAACAATTTACCATACTTCACATCAGCATAGTGAGAAATTAACAAAATATACAATACATAAGCTGAAATAATGAAAACAAAAATAATTAAGAACTATGTACAAGTAAAATGATATCATTGAAATGAGAATGGGATGGCTCCCGACCGTTGTTGCTACCTTGACGTGGTGGTCGGGCTTGCCTATCGTGATGAAGCAACCGAGCTATACTGGCTGGAACAACCGTTCCTCAAGGTCCTACCATGTCAGACAGGTCGGTTGAAGAGCGGTAAGACTAAAAGCAACAAACCCAAGGTCCGAAGGCGAAGTCGTACTGCTGACTGTACAGAGGTGTGACAGCAGTAAGGTGTTTCCTTCAGACAACCAGCATGGCAGCGATGCTGCCTTCCCACAAGGAGGGGTGGGGTTAGAAAAGGTCGACCCTAAAAATGCGCACCTCACCTTACCTCACGGATTTCCGTCTCCGGCGGTAAAGCCCCTTGGAAGAACGGAGCTAACACGTCAAAAACCTCCCACGAAAAGGCCGTGCGCGACCGGCCTCAAGCAGTTGTCCCTTGGGCACTGCGGTCACGCTCTCAGGTCACTGAGACCGCCTCTAATCCAATTTCCTTTTCAGGTACCTCCAGAAGAACCCTTCCACGGTGTGGGCAACTGGGAAGTGATAATCGCCCTCATACCTCTAACAGCACCCAAGACCACTGTATTCATAATCAACCTTCCTCTTCAATTCCTATTATTCCTCCTACATCGACTTTCAACCCTAAACTTCCTCCTTCGGCTTCCTCCTCAAGTGTCACCATAGCCAACGATTCTAGTGCTCAAAACTCTGTCCCAGGTCTACTGAAACCTCGCTCCAAACTACACATTGGAACTTTCAACGTACGCACTCTATGTCAAATCGGTCAGCAGGCTTCCTTGGCTAAAACCCTAGAGTCTCTTTCCATTGATGTATGCTGTGTCTCCGAAACACGCATACAGGATTCCAGTGTGGTCATTCACTTGACCTCACCTCGGCAAAACGGAGATCCAACGAGATACACCCTACGTGTATCTGGAGATCCGATGGCTAGTTATCGCGGACTGGTGGGTGTAGGCGTAGCACTAAGTACGACGGCGGAACAAGCACTATTAGAGTGGATCCCCGTTAACAGTCGCTTATGTGCTGTTCAGCTAAACGGCTTCGAAAGAACTCGGAAAGATAGAGACACACGTCGTTGCCTTTTTGTCGTTTTTGCTTACGCTACCACTGACTGCAGCTCAGATGAAGTGAAAGATGAATTTTACAGAAAGCTATCCGAACTTCTTCAGAAAGCTAAACGCTCAGACATAGTACTCGTAGGGGGTGACTTTAATGCTCAGATAGGTAGCTTAAACCAAACAGAAAGGCATTTAGGTGGATATTTTAGCATTCCGGCACAGCGAACAGATAATGGTGACCGTCTGCTGCAACTGTGCTCAGACAATCGTTTATTTTTAGCAAACACAAATTTTAAACATAAGGAGAGACATCGTCTAACGTGGCGACCGCCTGCACCAAACCAACGATGGACTCAAATAGACCATATTGCCATCAGTCATCGTTGGAGAGGGTCGATAGAAGATTGTCGCTTATTCTGGAATACCTACTTGGACTCCGACCATGCTTTAATACGCGTACGCATCTGCTTGCGGCTCACTGGATGCAAAAAACCACATTAAAAAGACCCATTAGAATTGAACTGAGTGGTGAGGAAACAAAAAGTAGGTTCCAGGAACAACTGATGTCACACTTAGGCAGTTCTAAAAACGAGGCTGACCCAGATGTTGCTTGGAAAGATATACAAACAGCTGTGTGAACAGCAGTGACATCTATTAGCGACTTAAACCACAGAGTTTCAAAGAACCAGTGGATTTCTTCAAAGTCTATCACACTGATGGATTCTCGTAAACTCGTCCCATCAGGTTCTGAACATGATGAAGAGCGACAACAAATCAGATCTAGGTTAAGAAAAAGTCTAAGAAACGACCGTGAGCAGTGGTGGGCAACGAAAGCAAAAGAGATGGAAAAGGCGGCGACTATAGGGAACACAAGACAGCTTACAGACTAATAAAAGAAACTGGAATTAATAAGTCAAGTGTAAGTGAGATTATATCGGAAAAAGACGATACACTCATCTGCTCCCAGTCCAGACGTTTAGAACGATGGGCGGAACATTTCAGAGAACAGTTCAGCTGGCCTTCAGCTACTCTACAACTGCCCTCCATTCCCAGACAGTGTGAATGGAACGTTGAAGTAGGTCCCCCAACTCTTGCTGAAGTCCAAAAGGCTATAGTTAATCTGAAACGAGGAAGGGCAGCTGGTCCAGATGGATTGGCTCCAGAGGTCTTTAAGGATGGTGGTCCAATTTTAGCGATTAGGTTGACTAATATTTTAGCTAAAATCTGGGAGTTAGACGTTATTCCACCTAACTGGTCACAATCACTTATCGTCCCAATATATAAGAAAGGGTCAAAATCATCCTGTGACAACCATAGAGGGATTAGTTTAACTAATATAATATCTAAAATACTAGCTTCGATAATTATCAGACGCCTAACTAAGACTCGTGAACTGCAAACACGAGAAAATCAGGCTGGCTTCAGACCTGGTCGTGGCCGCATCGACCACATATTCACCATTCGTCAGATTCTAGAACACAGGCATACTTATCGGCGTCCGACAATGGTGGTCTTTCTCGACTTAAAAGCAGCATTTGACTCTGTAAACCGCGAGATTCTGTGGCAGTGTCTGTCATTGAAAGGCGTACCCCAGAAGTACATAAACCTTGTAAAGGCTCTTTACTCGAACACTACTAGTCGAGTCAGAGCTTATGGCGAAATGTCATCTACTTTTGCAACCTCAAGTGGTGTCCGTCAAGGCTGTCCACTTTCCCCATTTTTGTTTAACTTAATCATAGATTTACTGATGGAAATAACTTTCTCGTCGACTGAGTTCTCGGGTATTGATCTCCTACCAGGAGGTCCACTTATCGACTTAGAATACGCAGATGACATAGTCCTGTTTGGTGAAGACGCTGACAAAATACAGAGTCTTCTGGTAGCACTAAGCAACAATCCCAGAATGTTTGGAATGCGCTTTTCTCCCTCTAAATGCAAGTTGTTGCTTCAGGACTGGTCTGCGTTAACACCTGAACTAAGGATAGGGAGTGAAGTAGTCGAACGCGTTGACAACTTCACATATCTTGGAAGTCTGATCAGCCCTAATGGGTTGGTATCGGACGAAATCTCAGCACGGATTCGAAAAGCTCGATTGGCTTTTGCCAACTTGCGTCACCTATGACGAAGGCGGGATATCCGTCTATCAATAAAAGGACGAGTATACTGCGCGGCAGTCCGTTCTGTTTTAATTTACGGCAGCGAAACATGGCCATTAAGAGTAGAAGACACTCGTAAGCTATTAGTATTTGACCACAGATGCCTTAGAAATATTGCTGGCGTCTGCTGGGATCACCGGGTAAGTAATAGTGAGGTTAGACGCAAGGTACTAGGGAATGATGGTAAGTCAGTTGATGAGGTTATGAATCTTCATCGACTGAGATGGTTGGGCCACGTGCTACGTATGCCTGAACACCGATTACCACGACGTGCAATGCTATCCGGTATTGGAAATGGTTGGAAGAAAGTTAGGGGCGGCCAAACCAAAACGTGGCATCAGTGCTTGAAGTCACTAACTTCTAGTCTGAGCCATGTTGGTAGATGCAGGCTACTTGGTTGGGGTCCGCGTGACTATCGTAACCAATGGTTGGAGACTCTTGGTGACATGGCTCAGAATCGATCACAATGGCGTCGGTGTATACACTCCCTGTCTTCCCTTAAACTAAGAGATTAAAATCGCTTCATATCTTTCTTTCTACGAACCAATTCTTTCTTCTTGTACTATATCTCTATATGCAATCTTTCTCCTACATATTACTACCTTTGACCTAACCACTGCTATGAATCCGGTGTTCATCTTGTTGTGCTGATGCGGTATGGCAACCTGGACCGATGCACATATGTGCCTGGTCCTACGTTGTAGCTGACTGACTGACTGACTGAATGGGATGGCAACAGGTCTAAGTACGTAGTTATGTATTGCAGTTGTCTGGTCTGTTTAGTTCGCATAGATCGCGCTCCGCATTAGAAGAATCTCCTGATCGTCTATTATTAAGAAATACTGCACCAAATCTCGGAATTAAAACAATTTTTGAAAAGAAGATTAAAACTACAAAAAATCCCTCCTAATCTTACCTCGACACTCTTAGCATCGCAATTAATCAATAAACTTGTAGCAGACCATTTAAGTGGTTTCAGTTGACAATCTCTTGATTTCGGATATGAAAGACTAGATTTAATTGATGGATTCAATTGGGTGGACGATAATAATGATTCCTCTGGTCTAGTATTATTATTGGAGTTATTACTATAGACTGATAAGTCATTTAAATCGTTAATAATAGCTGGGCCATAAGTAATCCACTGAAGTAAATTTTCTTCTAAGCGTGATTTGAAACTTTCAGGGTGTTCAACAGTTGCTTGTAACACATGACCACTATGGTATATATCAGTGACAGTACCGGAGATTAGTGAATGATTTGCAAGTGTTGGCAATGGAGAATGATGAACTGGATTGACAGCATGTGGTATTTCTTCTTCGGTATGATAAATCGATGACGATGGTGACATATTATCAATATTGAAGACATTAGATCCATCCCCTACTCTTGATGAGGATGAAAATGGAACCTCGTGATCACGTGACTGCGGTGAACACAAATGCTTTGATGAACGGTCTGCAAACTGTGGATAGATTGGTAAACAATGAGTTTTAAAATTATCTAACGTATTACACGGTGAAGTTGGACTGCTGCTCCTTCCTAGTGGTAACGTCAAAGAACTAGGATGATTACCTGAGCCCGGAATAACTTCAATCGGTAAACAACTACACAACTCTTCATCACCATCAAAAAATTTTCTAAAAAAGTAAACAAGCAATGAAAAACAAAAAAAATACTTAAAACGCGGACGAAAAAATCAATCAATAGATAAAAACAAACAAATAAAACATATGATCTACATCACATGTTATAAACAAAAGGCCAAATTCTAACAAAACTGTAAATATATATACAGCAAATAATATCATATTATGCTTAGGCACTGATGGTCATTAAAATTCAGACTGGAAACTGTAAACAACCTCAGCGTTTAATTATGCTTAAAGAAGTGAAGCTAACCAATGTAGTTTTTTTAAATAGTTGATGAATTGGTTGATTCAAAATAGTTTCCTTCGTAAAAGATTTATGTTTCACTGAAAGACAGTGGAGTATAGAACGACGACATTTACATTTTGAACCCATCTATGATGAGTAATCTCAACTTCTTCAAAGATAAAAACATGGAATTTTAAGTTTCGTGAGGAGTATAATTGGTGTATTAGTCTGCAATATTAGCAATATGCATAGGAATGGATTATCTGAATTCCAAATAATTATTTATTACACGAGGATAACCAAAAAGGCCATGAACATTTTTTTATTCAATTTGTATTTCAATTCCATTTCGCTGTGACAATGGTAATGTGGCGACCTGAACATTTATTCCAGGTTTTATTCTGCTTATGACTAATGATGGGCTGATTAATTTTAAGAGGGATATTATGTACCTCAATGGTAAAGTAACCTGAAAATATATGACCTCAAAGCGGCGAAAAATTTGTAGTATACTATGATCTCAATCTATTTTAGGAAGGTTGACAATTTCATTAGAATTCATTTGGATAGCAAAAAGTATTGTATGAACGAAGTGTCTAGAGAGATATATATGTCAAAGAAATTACATAGCTACCTAGATTATAGCAACCAAAGGAGTAAAATAGAAATCATTCATTATGATGAACAATAATTACTTAGTGAAACAAATGCAGCGAAAACATCTGTCGATACTCTGAATTTATGATCGGATTCACAGATAAGAATTGTTATTTTTTTAAAGAAAAACTTCAGGAAATGATGATTTACTCACTCTATCAGCAAAGGAACTTCAGTATACCGAGATCGATAAGAACGAGGTGAGTTATAAGATGGACATGGTTTATTAGCAGCACTGCTACCGTCTACTAATCCCGATGACGTGTCAGTTGAACTGCAATTATCGGACGATTAAAATGAAAAAAAATAATATTATAGAATATATAAAGGTGACGATAAACAACACGTAAACAGCATATGTACGATTCAAAAATTATCAAACAATGAATTTTATCTATGAACATGGGATATGCAGATGACATAATTCTGTTTGATGAAGACACTGATATGAGTCTTCTGATCGTTTTGAATGACAAAGAATGTTTAGGATGAATCTCTCTCTCCGAATGCAAGATATCGCTTCACAACTGACTTATACTAACACTTTAACTGATGGTATAGAAAGAATTAGTTAACGCACCGATGACTTCACATATCTTGGAAGTCTCACTAGTCCTAGTAGCTAAGTGTCTGACAAAATCTCGGAAAGCATTTACGATGTAAGATAAGCTTTGACTAAAGAATACGTATCCAATCATCGCCTACCTCGACAAGCGATGATTGCTGATTTAAAAGTAAGTTGGAGGAAAGCTGAATGCTACCAAACCAAGACGTAGCATCAGTCCATGAAGATATTGACTGTTGGACTGAGCCGTGTTGGTAGGCCCAGACTGTTAAGGGTCAATAAGATTATTACAACTAATGATTGGAGACATTGAGTGACATGGCTTAGAATCGGTTGCAATAGTGTAGATACATTTACTCTCCATTTTCCTTACAGTCATGTTTAAAATTACCTTGTATGCTTTATTCCGCAAATTTACTTTCTCCTCAAATTATATCTTTTATGCCTGATATTCTCTACTACCACTAACCCTGTTGCTACTTCTACTACTTTTTCACTAACCTTGATAATTTCATCTCGCGATGATGTGGTGTAGCACATGAATGGTCAGTTCTACCTTGCCTATAACTAACTGAATGAATAATAAATGAATTGTTATCAAAAAATACATGAATTTCGAAAATCAGTCCAGATAGTCAATCATGTGGTAATCTTCAATGAGAGAATTTTCAAGTACTTATAAGAGAGAGAGAGAGTTTAAACTATTGAGGTATCAACGATATGAAATCAGTAGAACTGTATGATCGGTATAGTAAGAATCCACTGAAATTTTTAATAGTTTTCGTATGGTCACTCATATCATATCGGACGTTCTTCAATGAAAACTGAGGCAAAATGAACCTGAATAAACTACAACACATGAAAAATGGAAGCACGTAGTTTCAAACAACTGGATTGAAACTACATGTAAATAAACATCGATTTTACTCGACACAATAGAAAAAACAACTCACACAATGTAAACTTACCGTGTTGTGCTAACAGAAGTTTGAGAATTAATTGGACCGGACGCTGCTGCCGCCGCTGCTGCTGCAGCAGCCTCTCGAGTAACCATAAAGTGAGCAGCTACTTCAGCCATTCGACATTGGTCACGAGTTAGTCGATGTGTCATACACAACGCCATACCAGAAACGTGTGTAGGAGATGATCCAGTGCTCGCTGAATAAAATGCAGAAGTCAAATCTTCCTGGGAACTGATACCAGAATCATGTGCATCACCACTGTGACCAGTTGAGTTACTACTAGTTGCCGATCCAGATTTACGACGTGATTTAGCACCTAGACGAGTCTTTTAAAAGTAAAGATAAGTTTTTATTTTCAACGAGCCGTTCGTTGTCTAAATCCTAAAATAACAGGCCCTATTGTTATCGAAAACAGATTTACATGCAAGCATTGTATTCAAAAAAATTACCACGTAGGCACGACTATATCAACATTGAACATCAAAGTATATAAAGAACTGTCTTGATCTTCACGATCAACCTAATATTCCAATTTACAACGTATGAGACGACCACAATTTGAAAGGTATTAACAAAAGTACAAAATAAGTGAAGAGTACAAACACTTGAAGAATCAATATGAACTAGTATGGAATCGAGTCCATATACAGTCAACAGAAAAACATTAATAGCACACTAGACAATTTTGGGAAGGGGGGATTGCAATACTGAAATAAATTCATATTGATAATTCCTGCTTTCCGCATTATCAAAACATTTCTCCATTTTCACCATATAACATGCATTTCTGTGAAATCGTGATTCATAACTTTAGAGGGTTAGCCTACAACTAGTGGGTCATATATTCAAATATCATTTCATTCCGGTTGTAGTATCTATTAGCTCTCTCACGCAGTAGATGTATATATATATATATATATATATATATATATATATATATATATATATATTACAATCGGTTGACACATCTGTGTGTGATTGCTGAATTGTCAACAAGTGACAATTATTTGTCTGATTGTTGTTATTCATATATTGCACTTAAGGCAACAAAATACCAAGATATTTGTATCCATACAGCAGTACGTTATAAACATTTTAGGCTACTTAAGAGACATCTTTTCCAGTAAGTTTCACAGACTAACGTCGCACACTCTAGTCTGAATATTCTTTAACCTCCTTCATGGTATATGGATAATTTTACAAGAAGTGTACCACAATTTCAAGTGAAAAACAGCATAAAGCTAGAAATGCATATAACCATCACCAAACGTCAGTACGATAAATAATCTAGAGATGCACATTCTTGATTAATTCAGTTCAACTGAGTATGAAAATGTAGTATGATAGACTTTGATCATTGTTCTAATCGGTATCCTCCACCCTCATCAAACGTGAATGAATATAATTATAAAGCAGAACAAAGTCATCAAACAAGTTACAGAGGCTATCTTTGAAATCTACAAGCTTTTTTGATACGGGAACATTAACATCGAACAAATTGGCAATTTGTAAGCTAGAAAGAAAAAGGTCAAAGAAGACACTAGTGGTAATACAATTACCATAAACCTTCACTATCTTATAAACTTATTTATTTAGGATCACTTATTAATTCGCATTCCTCGTCGTTGGTTACGCTTGCAATACTATTCGACAGTTTCATTAAACAAAAGGATACACTATAATACGAAGTTCAATAAAGCTCTTCGAATCACAAAGAATAGATCTAAACTGAAAACATTAAGACCTAAAAGGAGCACAGTAATCCAGAGGGTCTGGCAATTCAAAATGAAGTGATAATTGTTAAATTTGCCATAAATCTATTTAATAACCATTTAGTCTCGATATCCAATGTATGTTTACCTACATTACACTAAATTAATAATCAACCCATGTCATAAGGCTAAACCCTTAAGTAATAATTATGATAGTTATTATTTACTGAATACAACTTAAATGCATCGGTAAGGTCTATAATTTTTTCGAGGAACTGAGGATCACATAAGGAAAACAAGTGTAAAGTTGATAAAGAGCGATAACCTACCCTAGTGGACGGCATAAAAGTATCAACTCTAAAAATTAATGTGATCACCACCTACCCGCCGTTTCTGTTGTTCTAATTCAAACAGATCAGCTGGTCCAAGTTCTGGGAGGCATTCCTGTGTGTGAATCAAGCACATGAATCTCAAGAAATACGTAGCGAAGTGAAGAAGAGCCATTAAATAAGCACGAGACTGGCCAGAAATTACAGTGCAGTTAAATATACTTCCGAATGATACTGAATCTGTTCCTATGGTTTTGAAACCTGTTTGTGTAAGTAACTGATCCAATAAACTGACGGGCACATTCTGTTTATTAGATATTGATGAATTCCCACAACTGACCCCCTAAAATAATAAATTTTAGAGAACAAAAGCAAATAATTATTGTAGGATGAAATGATTTATAGAGATTCGGTTAATTTGATGTTTTCTTTACGGTAAACTTACTTACACCTGTTATTCCTCGAGGAACCCAAGCCATGCAATTCGCACTCAATTAGTAGGCAATTAGTGTCCGTAGATATGGCATGTGCTTTGCACTCTCGAAGTGCAAAGTACTTTTACAAAATTGACAAAACCCTGAACATTCTCATTGTTATTGTGTGGTGCATATGCATTTGGTAACCCCTTGTACCAACATTTATATGTTCAAATAAATAAACAAAATAAGAACATCCACTATTCTTAATGGCCATGTTTTACACTCAGAAAGTAGGATGGATCGGACTGCTGTGCAGTAAACTCGCACTTTGGTCAACAGACGGATATCTTCCTTATGCCGCAAGCGACGCAATTTGAGAAAAGCCAATCGAGCTTTCTGAATCCGTGTCGAGATTTCGTCGGACACCAGACCATCAGGACTGATAAGACCAACAAGATAAGTAAAGCAGTAGACACGCTCAACTACATTACTCTCTATCATTGATTTAGGTGCTGACCCAGGTCAGTCATGAAGCAACATTTTGCATTGGAAGGGAAAGAATCGCATCCCAAATATGCTTCCATTGCTAATTAAGGTAGCCAGAAGACTGGATTTCGCCAGAATCATTGACAAACAGAACTATACCATCTGCACATTTTAAGTCAACAAGTGAATCTTCTGGTAGAAGACCAATCCCTGGAAAGTCAGACGATGAAAGTGTTATCTGCAGAACCATGTCTTTGACAAAGTTAATTAGAAGTAAGAAAATCAGACAACTCTAACGAACACTAATTTAAGTCATCGATTCCGATAACAGTTTCTCATAAGCTCTGACTCGACCAATAGTGTGTAAATCAAGAGCCTGTACAAAGTTAATGTACTTCTTTGGTATATCTTTCAGTGAGATACTGAAACAGAACCTCACGATCAACAGAGCCGGACGTCGCCTTAAGGTCAAGGAATGCAACTGTTATCGGACGTCGAAAATATAGCTGTTTCAGAACATCCTGGAGGGTGAATATTTGGTCTATAACTAACCGGGTTTTCACAGGTTTACTCGTTACAAGCTCTAGTTAGACGTCAAAGTACTATTGAGGTTGATATTTTAGACGTTATGTTAGTCAAATTGATCTATGTGATTGTCACAAGAGGATTGTTGTCCCTTTCTACAGACTGAAGCGATCAGTGGTCGAGACCAGTCAGATGGGATTACGTCCAGTCCCCAGATTCTAGCTCAGATCTTAGTCAATACAACTGCCAAAAATAGACCCCAACCCTTGAAAATCCCAGGAGTTAATCTATCAGGCCCTGCTTCCCTTCCTCGCCTTGAAATGCTAAAAGTCTTTTCAACTCTAGAGTACAACAATTAAGGTTTCCTGATATATTTCTGTCCCTTACATACAAAGACAATAAATGAATGTCGTGTTGACCAGATGTACATGAACATCTGTAAAAATGGTTTCCAATGAGATAATCCGAGTTGGTAGAAGAGAATTCAAAGCACGAGAACAATCTAAAATATGGTTTACCATCAAATTAAGGCGAAATATAACAATCCATAACGCTTAGTTATACTTGACAAATGCCATTACAGATGGTACCACTTAAAATTGTCATAATTTCTTTACTTCTATGTTGCAACGAAAACTGTCAGTTGACTAAATTAACAGATTAACTACAATGAGTTCCTGAAAACCTACCGGATTTGAACGTGATCCTGAACCATCAATCCAGCCAGTATGGAACATAAGAATACCAGTAATCAACCGAGCAAGAAAGCTACAATAAAAATCAGCCAATAAATTTTACAAATTACTATTACAACACAGCATAGCGTGTATATATGTGAAATCTCTCGCAATCCTCAACAAACAAAAAAAGTCTATTGTATTTTGACTTGTCGAACTTATGGCTACCAAACGAATAGGAACAACTCTACCTGCGACTACAGGAATGTGACGATATGGTTTATTTTTCATGACGACGCATTCGAACAGTACTACTTAGAGCGCTTGTCTATTGACTTCCTATCATGATGTGATCACGTGGTGTATTCAGATTCCTCTATAAAAGTGATCAAGGCAATGACTTTTAGCCAATAGTTACAGTAAGTGAATTTCTAGAATCCCATTAAAACACACTGGTGTGCTCACAAAGTTGGTAAGTCAGAACCAACGTAGGATCTAGCAAAAATGTGTGTCGGTTCAAGCCGAAACATAACATCGGTAAAGTTAAATGGACTTGACACGAAGAATATCAAAACCGGAATAATAGTATCAACAATGGTAAGAAAGTTTAAATATTCGAAAATATGGTTCGAAAAAATCTTATTGGAAGCAGACTCAAAGTCGATAATTATAGTATATTTATCTTCAGAGATGGTACGATAATCGCCTTATCCCAAGACTATTGAATATCCAGACTACCAAATCATCCAAAGCAACTCAAACAACCTCCTAACCAGAAATTCACTTTTATTCTTCAAACTAACCTGAAATGTCGGTTGAATCTAAATGCCTGAGCAACTTCGAAATTCTTACGGATCTTTACCTCTTTGGGTGGATTGGCAGTCACTAACCAAAGTAATGTGGTGGTAAGTGATACAAATTTACATCAATCTGTTTAGGATGGACGTTTTAACCTCTAAAACACAAGATGTGTGGCGCGTACTAGTGTATAGTCGGAGTTCAGAAAAGAGCTGTTCAATGTGTTTATGTACTCTACCCGGAAACGCTGTGAACACTCCCGGTGGAATACTATTTACCATCCTATCGATAACGTTTCAGTTTCCCATAAGGTCTTCTACATAACCTCTAAATGTTAATAAAAAGGACGAAGTGACATTTTTGGTGTTCTGAACTAGTTGTTGAAGCTTCAATCCTAGCACCTTTTATTTATTAGCATAAAAATACAAAACAAGAGAACTCAATGCTGTGGATGTTTATTAACCAAAATTGGATATTACAATCAAGTTGGTTAACTGAAATCAGTAACTACGTATACGTTAGTATCCTAGGCCTTGAGTGGCACTCATTTTGTGAAGACTAGAGGTAGCATCTGCGCTCCTAAACGACGACTAACTGAACCAGAACTATACTTTGAACCAGAAAATGAACATTCACGTCCTTATCCGACCAGTGAATCTGCAATAAACATCTTATGGAAATTTAGGGACAAGTTAAACACTTGGTCGGCTAGTCATGGTCAGTGTACGACTGGGCAGGAGTTAGAATTACAATGCCAAGGGTAATGCAAAGAACTAAGTATGAGAATGATCCAAAACGAGAATGAAATAAGGAAATAAATGTTTTCAAATACGGACCTGAAGAAGAACACGTGCATATAGCACTATTATGAACTGAATCCCGATCGACTGAATAGCACTGGCTAAGTATGGAGAGACTAAAGTGCAGATTGTTGCCTGAATATATATTGTGTGGAGTGTTAACGACTACAGGGTAAAACGAAAAACTCCTATTGAAGGCTTTAACTTCATAAAAAAACCTAAAGGTCAAATTAAAGGACAACAAATAGATTGGCAACTGTATCCTGATAAGCACCCAATTGCAGACATGACTAAATTTGGGTATTAAAAGTTACACTGTGATGTGAAAACCAGTGAAAAAGATTCAGCGACTTCAAAAGACGTCATAATTTTACTAATCAATAAAAGGGTATCCTGATTTCTATCCCTAGTTATTCCCATTTATGACGAAGGACAGAAGTCATGTCACAACTGCGGAGGAATCAAATTGACATATTTTTTAGAACTAATATTCTACAATCATCTGACGTCTATGGCACTGAAGTGAAATTGGGAAAAAACAGACGTTTTTGCCAGTAAGGAACTTGTTGACCAAACATTTCGCCTCGGGTTCTGGAACACAAATACAGACGTCAGAACCATGCCATAATTTTTTCTATCTAAAGGCGACACATCGCTCCATTGATCCGCAGCTTTGTAGCAGTCTCACTGAAATAGATTCTCCAGTAAAGACATTTTACTCAAAGGTGACACATTACTAAGAGCTACCACTTGAATCAACTCTTATAGTGTTCTCTATGTTTGTATATGCCAATAATTAATTTCCAATCTCGCCATATGCATGCTTCAATTAAACGTAAACCGCTCTGCCAACAGGAGTAGTCGATTTCCGGTTCGTATATGATGCAGTCCCGTCGAATATACGGTAAAAATGTTTTTAACTCAGTGAGTGCTTGGATTGAGTATATGGAATGAAACACGATTGGACCATACCTATTGGACGTTTAAATAATCTGAAGTAAGGACGCTTTTGGCTAGCATATATTGATTAAATTATGGTGAGCGAAATTCGCCAAGACTAATCTAACAGAATATAATCAGAAATATATACGAATTTATGACTTAAAAAATAGGCTGAACTGAGTAACATTTTTACGTGAATAAGGTGAGTACATTTTATGGCTCTTCTTTACCAGCAAATATAAAGATTCATGAAAAAAGTTCCCAACCATAGCGCATCACGAAGTAGTTGAACTGCCTAAGTAGACAGATGGCGAAACTTTACATAATTTACATAGTGACCCACAGGAATCTCGAAATTTGTTGCTTAGTAGGAAGAAGTCAAAAGAACAGTTTAGCTGGCCTGTAAAGAAATAAACTAGCCTAAAATATTCTTGAATGACAGCACATTAATATGAATTGATTCCTAACATAAAACACTACTAAAAAAAAAACATAAAACCGGCGACAGGAATACAAGTGACAAAACGCAAAGGAAAATTACCTGGCAGACACTTGGAAAGGCGTGAATACTCATTCCAGTGCTTTTTATTCACCTAAAATCGAATGCTTCTAAGAGAATGATAAACCTGAGATACTGTTTATAGCTTTGTCCGGTAGTGGTTCGATAAAAAGTGTATCAGTCACCCTTTTAACGTTAGTGTGTGAATAACTAGCTAACTAAACAATCCCTACATGCTGTATGATCTAAAATCCAAAAGAAAAACTGAAATCATAACTACGTATTGTACGGATAAACTAGACGGCTACAAACTCATCAAACATAATATACTAAGGTGAACACTTTTATAATGCAGCTTAAGCGTTAAAGGTGTATCATGTAAAGCTCACTTACCTACGATGTTCTTTACTATTACCCTTAATAATTAAAGGTGCCAGACAGGATCTCACAAACACATCGAGTAGACTATCTTTGGAGACTTGGTTAGAATCGACAATCATTGACTGAGAATAACTAGGGTCCATATTAAGCCAATAAGCAACACAATCAGCACGTGATCGATCAGAGCAGGGTGATAATGAATCAAAATCGGTAGATAATGTGACATTTAACGTAGGCCAGATCGGAAAATATAATTTGGGCAGACATAGATCTCGGAAATAATTCAGAAAGTTGCTGAAAGCTTTTGCAATGGTTTCTGTACAGTGTGCCTCTGGAACAAGTTTGTGCGTGCCCCAATAGTTCTTAGCACTGCTGCATACGGCTATTGCACATTCATTCGACAATGTCTCTATTATTAGGCTCAGCTGAACCCAGTGTTCAAAGAGCATATTGTAAAAACGTCTCGCGGTAAAAGCCGATATTTTTAAGCTAGTATCCGCGGACGACTGAGGAACTAGTTGGTTGTGGTGGGAAACATCAGTGTTGAATAGATGATAGAAATTCCGACGGCTATGTGGCTTTTGTGAACATGCTTTGTTGGGACACGACCCACTAGTAGGTGAACACCACTCCAAATTGATGAGTAGGCAAACTGCCAAGGTTTTGTAACTTTTTAAGTTTTGTTTCTTTAACTATGGGAAAATAAATTTAGTAAGTTGTCATACCAACTCAGGGTTTCCAACACACGTTTCCTGCTTGATCCCCTGGTTGTGTTCACTTTTCGGATACAGCTTTCGCCTGAAAAGTATTTGCTTAAGAATTTTTTCGTACTTACCACTCGTCAAATTCATGAAAAACTCGAGTAAACAGAACCTGTCCAATGGAACTACAAGTTATTATTAGTTAGGGGTCGAACTCACCTCATATCATGAATTTTCATTGAATGCAAGAGCGGTTTTCTGTTATTCAATGAATAAGACCCAAACGCCATATCACTAAGATTCAACTGTTGACGACCAACATTAATGGTTGGAGTGGATTTCACAGGATCCTGAGAGTAAAATTATAATTTTTGGCATACCTTTAGCGCTGAAGAATCAAATATGACACCTGAGTCCTCATTTTTTAGGACAAACAACCGGACTGCTTTTTTTCTCAATAATTTACTCAATTGCCTTAGATGTCGGTCAGAGAAAACTGAACTACAAACCCGACATGGACATCATTGACGTCAACTGCCTTAAGAAATTCGTCAAACTCCCGGTCGTCGATTGCTTTCCCAATACCGAAGGCCTTTTTTAGGAGGGCAAACGACATCAACCCGTACGTCTGTGGAGCCTTAACGAAGGTTACAGTAATAAAAGCATCCCAAGGTCACCATAAGGTATCCAATATCCAATATCATTGTGATGAACTTTCATAAGCCGATCGAGTTATTTTCGTCCGCTTGTTGGCGAGTTCTTTCTTTCAGTGGTCAGATGAAAGGATAGGAAATCGGTTCCCAGCACCATCTTTGAAATTTGTAAACCGATTCTGATAATACGTTCTCTGACAAACTCCCGGATACTAATGTTTCCATGCAAAAAACCAATTTGATTTTGTGTTTTTAAGCTCTCGAAATGTCCTCTCAGATGTCGATGTCTTCATAATCCAGTCGACCTACAGAAGAGGAAGGGGAAGAGTAAGCAGTCTTGTCGGACTTCGGTCCTCACTTGGAATGCACTTGTCAGCTGTCCTCCGTGCATAACTTTGTACTGTAGTCCATCGTATGAGTTCCGTATGATATTGACGATCTTCTCAGGCACACCATAGTATCGAGGAAGTTTCAATAATGTTCTCCTATCCACAATGTCATACCACTTCTCATAGTCAAGGAAGTTGATGTATAGTGACGAGTTCCATTCCATTGATTGTTCAACGATGATCCTTTGTATCGCGATTTGGTATGTGCACGACCGATCTTTACGGAATCCAGACTGTTAATCTTGAAGTTGGGCGTCTATGGGTCTTTCCTCCGGTTCAGAAGCACTCTGTAAAAAGCTTTTCTCGGTATTGACAATAGTGTGATTTCTCTGTAGTTCTCACATTTTCTGATATTTCCTTTCTTGAGCATCTTGATGAGGCGTTGACGTACATTTATTTGCAAATCTGTTAACATTCTCGTTCCGTCTTTCCAGTCCATGTCGTCCCATGATATCTTCATATCCGGGAAGCCCCGTTTACTCTTATTATTTTCATTCATTTACTAGAGTCACTTACTAAGTTTCCAAATCTTTAGATAATCCTGAAAATTTTCGGACTTATGTTATGACCTATGGCCACTTTCCAATATAACGTGACAAAAAATACCAATCAAAATCGGTAGAGCATCAATAACCTTATGCCAAGTGCTAAGTTTTCACTGGCTCAAAAATCTCCGGCTTCACTCTCTGTTATGCTTGTTCAGCTCAGAACACAGTAATCAGCTTTCACCTTGTGAATATTATATTTCAGAAACAAGTAGATTATGTGTATACGTGATCAACTACATCATACCATAAAATGAAGGGTAGCAATTATGCATGATCAAGCCAAAATTGGCTATGAATTGTAGAGGTTGTGAACAATTAAATGGTAACAGATTAAGTGTAGTGAATCATGCAACAGTAGTTAGTGGGTTAATCAAAAGCTCATGATTTAAGGAATATAAATATATAACACAATCTAGTTAATAGTTGTCCAATGAGAATGTGTGCAATAATAGCCTATAAACTAATCCTGGCAGTTACCATTTCTTTAGTCTTCATCGGAAATAACAAGTATACAGTAAGTCACTATCAAACCACCTCATAAATAGATTGAAGCGTCTCACCCTGTTTTCATAAGTTATGTCGACAGTACCTTGTACCATTTAGTGTCCCGCCGTTGAACTCTAAGCGTATCCGCTTCATATTTTAAACCAATATTCTCCGTTTGAATTTTGTACTCCAAGTGCGGTCTCACAAAGGCCAGGTATAGTACCCTTAACTTAACCTCATCGAGCTGACGAAACGAGTACTGAATAGTCCATGAGACCCCAAAGCTTTGGGCAGCGGCAATCTTATGTTTAATCGTAGCCTCAAGGTCAACGCGGGTTATGACTCCTAAATTTTTATAATCCATCACTTTATGTAATTACATTTTATTTGTTCTGTACTTATGTAAACTGTTAAAATTATTTATATGCACTACTGCACTCTTGCTAGAATTGATGTTCAGTGGGGCCCATAATTTTGTCGTCATCTAGATTGAACGATGTTGTCGAAAGGGCTCTCCACTTTAGTGGCCCGTGGATCGGACTCAAATTAGATCGTATGAATGTTTGATATCGAAATAAGTATGTCGCCTACCCTCGTCTATAATCGTCGACTTAAATCGCGTTAGTCAATAACGGAATTAAATAAGTCAAATAACGAGAACGGACTTTTCAATACATATATTTTGTATATAAAGCGAATGGAATAGAGAGAAGAGAGACGACGCTCAGTGGAGATGGCTGGTTAGCCAACTCCTTTTAACCAAGCGTTAATCAATGTTTGTAGTTACACAAAAGTCAGTTGCAGACATGTGATGAGTAATGGGATAAGAAATGTACACACACCTACGTGTACATATAAAAACAGTCAAAATTGATAAACGAATAAATAACAAGGTCAGAATGTGACTCAAGTAGAATGAATAGGATGGGCTGTCCGAAAACTAGAATAAGGAATGTGGGCTTAACATAATAACCGACACTACAGATTTATGTCCACCTTTTTATCCTTTCAACCGGTAAATTCAAGTATTCTTGTAGTATTATCTCACCAGTCATGGAGTGTATGGCTCCCTAAGTCTTAATGTTATTATTAAGGAGTAGAAAATATGACTTTGCGACAGTTAGCAAATCATTTACATAAAGCAAGAAAGAAGAGGGCTAAGGAGTGTACTTTGAGGAAATTCACTCTCTACAGATATCAATATGGATAAAGCCCCATTTACCGGTACATGTTGCCTCTTATTGCCAATAGAGTTACGCATCCAACTTCTAGTTCTGTAATGGATTCCAAAACTTTCCAGTTTTAATTTAAGACTAATCTGAGAAAGTTTAGCTTGGGCTTTACTGAGATCGGGAAAAATCACATATACGAGGCAGTTAATATCTCCCGATGCAGTAAAATATTCCCCAGCAACGACATTTGTCAAGGATGAAAGACCCCCTTCGAAACCATGTTACCCTCTTCACAAAAGATTATCCCATTCCATATAGTTTAGAGTAGACATTTTTTGGCGACTACGTTGGTTAGACGAACAGGGTGATCGCTTATAAATGTTTGTTCCTTCAACTTTAAACCGTATTTATAATTGCATCTTTCCAATCCCTTGACAACCTAGTCTATTTGGGAGATATATAAAATAGTACTGCCAGAGTTTCAGCAATAATATACATCAGAATTTCCATGATCCTAGGGTGAATATGATAAGGACCACTGAACTTATGTGGCTTCAGATATCACAGTAATCGTTAGATAACTTCCTTCTCAATTATCAGAGCATCCAACGATATAACTTTTTTGACCCTCATTGTTACGAGATTCGAAAATAAAGGAACATTTATCCGTATTATTAGTTACGCATACAAGGATCCCTCTCATCCCTACATCTATTTCCATCACCTCTTAGGTAGTTGTACTTGTATAGTTCTGTAGTCATGGACTAACCAAGTTTCAGTCACGGATGTGATAAGTGTCTTTGTAGTGTCATTGTGCCCTAACCACACATTCCTCAAAGCTGAAGATGAGATAACTGGTAAGATAGACATTTAACATTTACCGCTGAGAAAAACCTAACAATGGAGAAGGCGGGAAGGATGAATAGAATACATCGGATGGCATGGCTCAACTTCGTAGACGTTATCATGCTTATGCAACATATCTCTTTTACTCATATTAAACATATTAATCTATGTCCAGCCTAAATGTGTTTTCCGTGCCTGTAGGCAACCCTCATGCTATTGATAGAAGGAACCAAACTAGTAGTGAATAGGTCTTTATTTAGGTCTTCGCGCAGTCACAGTGGAGTGTGGGATTGCCTGTTCAGACGAACAAGGCCTCTCATCATTTAGTATAAGATAATAGGGAATATAACGCCTATACAAAATAAGGAAGTGAATGAATACTTGAATTCTGTTGTTTCTACACATACTTAGTTGTTTGAAGTCAACTCTTAACCAATCAATCTAAGCTTGTAGTGGCATTGGGCCCTAACGCGAGACAATGTGGGAAATAGACAATCAACATATAACACGGAGGAAAACCCAGCGATGAAGAGGGTGAGAAGAATGAATTGAATTAATTGGGGTTGATCGTATGGCATGGTTCGGCTATGCAGGCGTGGTCCCTGTTGAATGTTACCTTATATCTTTTATTCATATTAAATAAATTGTTCTATCTCTAGCCTATGTTTGTTCTCTATCATGCAATTGTTACGATGTAGTGAGTTGGTATAGACGATGACGTGACTTCCACGTAAGATCTTATAGATTAGGCAGTTATATCATGACAAATCTCCAAGTGTAGGATTAGGTCTATTATTAGAGCAGTACTAATATCATAGTAGACCATAATTCTATAAGCTGTTACATGTTCTCGATCATATACTGGTGATTGTTACAATAAGACGAGTTAGTGTAGACATTGCTGTGACTTCCACGTAAGATCTTGTAGCTACATCATGACAAATCTACATTTTTGAGATCGAGTTTATTATTAGAGCAGTACTAATGACAAAGTAGACCATAATTCAGCAGCTTCACTTAGTTGACTCACATTATTAATTCATGAAATTTATTTCACATACTATGAGAGTTTGTGCACAAGACTCCTAAAGAGGATGACCTACCCATGCGAGTTTTGTTCGTATTCTCTTCCAAGACCTTGATATTTGGAGATCCACCTGAAGATGGTTTTCTTCACCATTCTTTTGACAGATTTCTAGTTCACATAGGACTTTTTAATCTATCCTTCAGAGACATTAGGTTCAACATGTGTGTTGTAATGGTAGCGCTTTCGACCACTCGTTAACAACATCTCTATTCGGTCCTCTGACCCTAGGATCACCTTCAAGAGCATACGTGATTGGGGACCAATATTTCCCTTAGTCCCCTTAACCATCTGTAACAGTTTTACGGTCCGAACTCCCGTAGAATGTCTGGGTAATATGTTACCAATAAATGTTCCGACCTTCCCTAAGTCATACGTAAGTCTAAATGCTGGATCAACGTTCTTTGATTCTCACACGAATGTTCGGTGAAATTAAATTTGTTTCCTACCCAAGGGTTAAGGATAGTGTTACTTCGGAAATTCGGAGGAATATTCTGTGACTCAGAATGGGAACATACCGAAGGTTCGTCAGCCAACCATTTACTGTTAGTGGAAGTGGGTTTCTTCTAAACTGTTGTTTATTTCCCTTCACCCAAGACACTCACATCAAATGTACTTGTAACGGTTTTCTAGGTCTTCAGATACGGCTTTAGACTCATGTAACCCGACATGCAGTGATGTGTTAATCTTTATTTGTCTCGGAGATTTTACTTATTCAGGTCTCTCAGTCGACTATTTAGCTTCTCGTTTATCTGAGCATACAGAACTGGCAGAATTTTCTGTCAGTGCCCTAATCATCAGTTCAGTTATCATCAACCTTTTACTGACCAACGTCAGAAAGCTCATCGCCTCCTGGATCAGCAAAGTCCTGCTGCAACAACAGCAGGTGCAGAGATAATGGAAGTTAGGCTGTGGACACCCCAAATTTTGTAGGTTTCAAACGTTTGGTTATTTTATGAAACCACTTGTTGTACCAATCACACTGCGTTCTTTTCTCTGTAATGAAGAAACACTCATGCTGTCCGAATTTATGAGAATAACCAACCACTGCAAAAAGAGCTGTACAAAACCTGTCATATATATATAACCTAAGACAATGGAACAGTATAGAATCTACTAGATTGAAAAACCCGAAGAAAATACGCAAGATCCCAGCAGGTGCGAAGATTGGTGAAAAATCAAGAAGTGCATCACAAAAAGATTTGTAAGCGCCTGATAACTTTATTCGAAATGATTCAAGCTAGATCTGACCTAGTAAGCTCTTGATACCAAAACACACAAAAGCAAGTTGATTCATAAATTAGAAAATCATTACGCTTTTTTATAAACACGCGTTTGGTTGCACAAAATTATTACTCATGCACATTAAAACTTACAAATGAACAAGCTGAAGATGATATTTTTTCTGCTAAACTGCTATGTAGTAAGATGACCATTTTTGTTTAACCTGTCTGTTTTTCTTATTTAGGACGACTCCATTTTGGTTGGCTCGTTGAAGTCTGTCTATTGTGTTATCCGTTTGCCAACGCTGGATCCCAATATCTCAGAATATCCGGAGAAGTTTTTGAATTTTCCACATGCAGTTGGCTTTCCTTCCAAAACTCCAATGAACAGGATGCCTTCTGCGGTTGCGAGTGGTGGGTCTCAGCCTCTCCATATGCAACCAGTTCACTCAGGCCCGGTGATATCAAGTTCTCTAAATTTGCCAAACACCCTCCCACCTGGTATGAAACTTTTGGTTAAGAAATAATTATTCAGGAATGCTCCATTCGGGTCATGGTATCCAAATGTCTGGTCCTCATGACCGTGAGCCTGCTACACCAGCTTCAGGTTCTGGACCAATACCAGGCCATTATTTCTCCACTCTTGGTATGAATCCTGGTTCCCCTCATCCTATCCCAAATATGGTCCCACATGGTCATCCTAGCCAGTTCCATCACCATCCACTACTATCATTGTGAGTTTATAATATTTTAACTCTTAAGTGTATCTAGCCGTTTTGGATATTTTTTTCTGACAGTCGTGGACCTATCACCTAGTACGACAATATGTTTGAACCCGATTTTTTTGCACGGTTAATGTCTGTGTGATGTGGTCTCGGGCAGTTTCTGCGTTTTGGTTACGTGTCGCCATAACTACATAGTTTATCTTGTCCGTCTTTCTCTTATCATTTATTATATATCATGGTCGGACCCATCAAGTTCTCGTCCTCATGCACAGCTTGGTAGTATCTTTACTGGATTTAAGGCGCTAAATCTCAAAAATCTATGTCGAATAGCAGTCCTGATTTGTTTCTATTCATGTGTGGTTGGGGCGTGGTTCACTCTTGCTCTAGTACATACAGTTCCGATTGTTCGCCACAAATGATTTGTCATTAATGATTGTGTCTAACCAAGCGGGAAATAGTCGAGAATCGTTCACGTGTCTTCTTCGCCGCGTGATTTCGGGCTTTTCCATTTGGTTTAAAGTTGTACAGTGGTATCTCATCGTTCAACCACACCAATTTAAAAGTAGATGCTTGTAAATCTTAAAAAGTTAGGGTTTCGAGTAACGACCTGGAATGGTTTTCTGTCGTCTCATATCATAGTGTTCTTATAGCTGGCGCAATAGGTTTCTCCAACAATTTACTGCGACCTTACCCCGCCGTAGTTCTGATATCCAGTCGTCATATGCCTCGAATTATTCCTCTTCATTGACGAATCATAAACGGTGGGGTAAATTTATCCATCCTTATGTCGCTAATCAAAATGTTGCATATCTTTCGCGTTGATGATAATCAAGGGAATGAATATTGTATATGACAATCAACCAACGTGTTCCATATATCGTGATACTGACCTGAAATAAGCACCCTTTAATGGCGTTCGGTATCCATTTCAGCTCTTCTAGTACCTGTGTCACGCACGTGATGCCTTCCTGTCTATAAATAATTTCCACAATTTATCATATAAAGTCCCCATGACATTCGTTTAATAATTGAAGGGTTCGTAAGTCAGGTAATGTGTGACACTAAACCCAAGTTTTTGCTGGGTCAGATGGGTTGCTTCTTATACTAGTATTCCATACCGTTACTCCTCGGCTTGCTCAGTAAATGGTGATGTTGTGCAGGTTTTCACAAAACCACTTGTTCTTTGAGAGATTAAAGCACCAATTACTGATGTGTAATGTTTTGCTCTAGTTGAATATGACCTTAGTATCCTGGTCATAAAGTATAAGACGTTAGTCAATCACCTGAGTTTAGGAGACTCATGTAACCCAGGAGATGCATACGGGAAGTTGTACTATTCATAGAGCAGTCTTCAATAAACCTTTAATCCTGTGTTAGTAGTAACCAAACAATGGGTAGGTGACAGCTTTCAACATTGGACATTACATTTGCGGTTTAGGCCAAGTTAGTTAATTTTTGTCAGTGCTAGTACCTATCAAACATGATCACTAGTTTCCTAAGTAAATAATGTATTCAATAACCCTGTCATTAACGTCTAATCAGGCATCAGTTCCAACTGAACAGTTCGTGCTTTGAGCTAATATCTTTGCAGCTTCGACCTCAATAATAAACAAAAATATTAACATTCCCTCCCCCACTGACTAGAGAGAGAGGTCCGGTTTCTTAATGGGAGCTTTGTTGGTAAGGTTTCTAATAGAACTAAAAATACATTTTAAGTTAATTGGTTACATATCAGATTCAATGATTTAAAGTTGTAAACCGAGCGATTGTCATTAAACAAAGTTACAATAAAAATCCTCTGAATTTTCACAAAGTAGTACAGCAGAAGTGCATCACCTTAAATCGATGTTGGTTTTCCTCAAAAGTTGTACTTTGGGACTTCACATTCCCAACAACACTATTAACTTGATATCAACAGCGATATACTTAAGTATAGCTACACCTACCCTATCAGTCCCAGTTTTTGTCTACACATATATTACTTTAAGTAACAGCTTTTGAGGTCTATGTAACATTTTTTACAATAAGTTCTAGAGTTAGGGTTTTCTAAACTTCCCCTCACCGGTGCTAAGTGGTGAAAGCACTTTGACATTTCACTTGTGACTTGAAATGGTGGGAAGGATCAACAGATTTTTGCACTGATAGACATTGAATCAGTCACATCGAAACTGCTTTAACCTCGAGATCAGACCTGAGTCATATTCTTCAGATTCGTCACACTTCTAAAGCAGCATTGTAAGATAGTTTGATATCTTACTGTGTATATCGATATCCTGTGTATTTTACCACGTTTAACTGGCCAACAATTGGATATGAGGATAAATAATTTAAATGTTCACTGGTAATATTTTAATCTAAAAAGTCCACATGACAGATTGTTGCACTGCGATCTCAAACCATCGTTTTTATTCACTACTAGCTTCAAACAGTAATAGCGGTTGTTAGAAAGTAATGAATGATCAAATAATAGGATGTGATGCAGTTATTTCCACGGAAGCTCTGTCCCATGTGTTCTGTTGTAAAATAATCACAGTGGTTATCTAGTTTAGCTTAAATATTACGTAAAAGTATGTGAGCCTTCTAATTATTTTCCTAATTGAGAAAGTTTATGCTGGATAAGTTTTCGTGTTGGTGAGACCAAGTATCTAAGATCATGTTTCAGACTTGCCTATATGTAAAGTCGGCGATACCATTGACTGTATCATCAAAGCCGTCATGTTCGTTTTCCTACACATCCATCGACTTAATCTGGTTTCCCAACACGTTTTCAAGTTTATCTGCGTCTATCTTAACGGCTCTTCTCGTCTTCACTTAATGAGTTCTGATTGCTAAAATTATTGAGGGAATGCTAATCAACTGATGATACAAAATAGTACATAGCCAAGTGAAAAATTTCGTAGCTGGATCTAGTGAGTCGTTTTATTCATCACCAATTATGCTGTCAGGTTGTCGTTCAATTGGCAACTGTTGAGGAACTGAGTCTTTCGAAAGTTAACACAGTACGATATCTCAAATCTAATATAAACAGATTGGTCTTATTGCTCTGAATTGAACACAGTCCCACTGCAACCGATCTGAAACTTACATCGCCTAAAAATGCAGAAATTTCTTTATCAAAAATCTTAAGCGGATTCAGTGTTGTTCTTACAAAAGATCTTGATTATTTCACTAGAACAAAAGTAACTCCGATTTCCAGTCTAAAATAGTTATACCATACACTGCCACTATTATATTTATATTTCATGACAGCTTTTCCTTTATTTTAGGAATCGACTACCGCATTTGATAGGTCAACCAGAGCTACGGATATTTGAAATGAATAAGCGATTACAACAGCGCAGCGACGTATGTCTGTACATGTTTTCCAAGACACTAACCTATTTTCAGGACTGTGATAGTTTGTGGTGGGAGTCATTTGCTACTGACTTTTTTGAAGATGACGCAACACTTACTCTTGCCTTTTTGACGGAAGAGGGTCCAAAAAGTTACAGTAAGCCTATCTTATGTCACATTTCTCTCTTAGCAATCGGGCGAACGCTCATTCCTCGTTATTTTCGCAGTATATTTGAAAGTGGATGCGGTGAACTTTATTACAATCTTAGATTGAACCATGAATATTTTCATCATCCAATTTTAACTCTGGATTCAGAATCTGCAACGATGACTATGACTATGGTTAGATCTATTCCTGTTACGGTTGTTGTGGAAGGTCGATTAACACTCGACTTCGCTTTTGATGATTTAATGAGGATTCGGTCGTGGATTTTTCTCATCCGAACTCATCGTGAAATGATAATGCGCTCAATGCTTGGCATTCAAGTAAGTACATTTCCTTTAAGTAATTATGAATTCACACACATTACTAAAGTGCTCAAATTAAGAAACTAAACGGATTTAAAGTATATATATATAATATAAACTAAAGACTAATGCAGAATATCATTTGAGTAATAGAGACTAACATTTATAGCTGGAAAGTAAGTTATCTCAGTTCATGGTTCAGAACATAGCTCGCAACTTTGTGCTTGGTTTCTGAGTTTTGTTGCCTGAAACTTCCGTTTGGTATTAACCGTAATTATATTTCATAGGTAACTATCCTTTGCGAAATATAATTTAATAATTGTATTGTTACTTTTTCAGTACAATTTTAATGCTTTTGTTTGTTTAGGACCCAGCTTTTTTAGATCAACTATCCAAGAACATTACCAGATACGGCATGACAAATACCACCCTCAATTTCTTTCGATTATGTATAATTCTGGAACCAATGCAAGAACTGATGTCGCGTCAAAAGGCATATAGTCTTACACCCCGTGATTGCCTTAAAACCACTTTATTTCAGAAATGGCAGAGAATGATGCCCCAAGGTTTGTTGAACAGTTTTCTCACTGATCATTTGTATTTCCACTCTAAAGACAATAATTGGCATATTGGACAGGTAAAAAAGCGCAGCATAACTAAGTTTCAGTGGTATGGTATAGAAAAGGCAAACACGCCATTCCGCGCTGAAGTGATTGAGGTGGACAGCATAAAAAAATACGACTAGCTTATGAAAAACATGTCTGTTTCCTAGCCTGGTTATTTGACTATATAAACCTCACCATCGTTACTGAAGTCAATTCTAAGCCACCCATTATAATGAGTTGTTTGTTATTCTAGACTTCATTTAACGTGTTTTGAAACCCTAACAAGTGTTAGTCTAACATAGCTCTCCTTTACGCGATCAACTTCCATGAACTATCACGCTTCCTATAAATGATTTCTGTTCCAAGCTTTCCCAGTTGATGTTTTATGAAAAAACTGAGACTGATAAATGGTGTCCTCCATGTTCACATTTTCATTTTGACCAATGTCACTTGAAGTAGTATTGCAACGGACTACAACTGATTTTATGGAGATAATGGCAACTCACTACCCTCAATTTAACGTCTCGAAAGTGTAAACTAATATTGGTCCACCAAAACTCTTGTGTTTATTGCCTTACAAGAGCAAGTACGCCTCATAGTTCAAAGTAACACATTACAACCAGATAGTTTCAAGTAATTCTTTCCTAAATCGTAATCACTAGCTTCTTAAATGATCTTAAACAGGCATCTAAGTTCTCACAAAATTCCGGAATACCGAGCCAATGGGTTCTCTCCTGTACTACATTTTGTTACGTATTATTGAAAAAGAAAACATTCCTATGAGATAGGTTTGTCATTTGGTCTTGTTTCACCATATGAATTATTGTCATTCATGATGAATTCCCATATATCGATTTCCCTTTGTTTAGAAGCTACACGCCAACCTAGCAAACGACGTAAGCGTAAAGGTAGTTCAGCAACAACTGAAGGTGCAAATAATACAAGTCGAACATCAAAGCGCAAACAGTCACCTATTCCGCTACAATCCCATCATATTGCTCAACCTGGGGTAAGTTTTGTCTCGCAATGAATCATATATATGACATTGTGGCATACTATTGTCCTTTTTAAACCAGCACAAATCGAACCTCGGGTAAATTTTGTTACAGTTTGCGTCTATGTCATAGTCCAGTGCTTTTTCCACTGTTTGTGCGTGTAATTGTCTTATTAGTTTCGTGTGTATTTCTCTTTGAAAGGATGTGATGATTGTTGGTGAACCAACTCTTATGGGTGGGGATTTTGGTGATGAGGATGAACGTTTGATAACTCGATTAGAAAATACTCAGTATGATGCCGTGGCTGCTGCTGCAGCCAATTCAGGCGTTATGGCTTCGCATATAAATTCTGGCCCTTTTCCCGGCTCTGGCGATTCTCCTGCTGGTATCATATCTTCTCCATTAGGTTTAAGTTCAGGAGGAAACATGTTAAATTCCAACCAACCACAGCAACAAATAAACTCCCTTCAGTTTCGTGCGGGTCCAATGTCTTCAGGTGGATCAAATCAGAGTATGCCACATGAAGGTGTTTTTCCCGGTAATCTTACTTCTTTGCAACAGAATCAACCAGTTTCTATGCCTCCTAGTCAATCGTTTTATTCAAGTTCAGCGCCAAATAGAAATTTGCATCATCACTCTCAAATGATGGGACAACAATTTATGCCAGTATTTACCAAAGCCCAAATGTCAGCTTCTAATATGCTTAATAGAGGTGGTGAGTTACTATTTCCATAAGAGTCGTTTCTATCCAGACTGCACTATTAACCACGAAGTGTTGTTATGTGATCAAGCAAATAATAGCTTCAAACTGTCATTGAACATAGTTTATGGTTTGCTTTTTATTTAAACATATTGCAACTATCAAATGATGCGGGAAAAATACAAGATAAATTATTTCGTTATTGAACTGTAGGTGTTAATTCACTTACTATTATTATACGTGGGATATACCTTAAGATCGAGATATCTTTTCACAGCGATTTCTATGGAGTAATTAAATGCCGCATATATATTTTGTGCCTTCTTGTACCAATATTTATGTGTTCAAATAAATAATAAAATAATTAAACGCCTTGCACCTATTATATTTTACTTAATCATGCAGAAATATTAATCCTTCATTCATGGTTGTTCCTGTTATTTACGTAAATATACTTAGTTGTTTATGATGCGACAATGGTATCTTCTCAGTGCTCAAACTTTCTCAGTTTGGATATGTCAGCTTATTCATAATCAAAGTTATCCCGTAGTCCTAGTGTTTTTCGTTTTCGTTGCCCATCTAAACATTACTAAAAACTTCTTATGAGATCCCTCACATAGGTTTTATTTGATGTTGAAACAGAAGTTTAGGGAAGCTTGATTTCTTACTCGTCTTTTAGAATTAGTCTAAAACAAGTATTTCATTACTCGTTTCTTATTTAGATCACTATATGCCATCAGGAAATGGAGATGCCATGCATCAACCAACTCGGTCAAGTAGTGCTTCGTCTTTAGTTGACGGTACAAATGGTTTGAGTGGGTTCCCTCACTGTGCCTCTCCCAGTCTTCTTCCCTCAAGACCTCCTGCACGTTTCACCCCGCCTTCTCTTCCGAATGGGTTAAGTTCTTCGGTTGTATCATCTCAACAGTCAAGCTTTATGATGCCAAATGAAGTGATGGGCAGTGGAGGTACGCAAATGGGACATGTCTCTGTTCCCGGTACCCCTTTGACTTCTCCACTGACCTCCTCCTCTTTTGCAATGGATATGATGGATAATCAAAATGTTCTTCATTCTGCACCCTCAACTTTGATTTCTACAACTATCAAGTCAAATAATTCTCCTATGCTGTACAATTCAATCGGAACAAGCTGTAGTGGAAATCAGTCGACTCCAGAGTGTAAGTATTTGTTTATCTGTGTGTTTTTATAGAATGTTACCTACCCAAGGATTCTATGATTTCAGAGATATATTGCCTTGTGTAGAGTGACTTGGTTTTATATTACTACGGTTTTTCTGTTAGTAAAACCATTAACCGTCAAGTACTATCGATCAGGTGACATTCAGACATGATTTTTTGGGCTTTTACCCTGAAGAAGCACTTTTGTTGCTTATTAAGAACAATATCTTCAACATGAACTCATTATTAACTTCTATACCGGAAACAAACATCTTTTTTGATTGTCGTATAGTTTCGATCTTGATTGCTTTATTATATATTTATCTGTGCACCGAGTTGATATAAATCTAGTTTTAAAAGCATCTTATCAAACTAGACGACCAACAGAAGCACATGTAGTTGTATCTTCGTGAGTTTATTTTACTTAGTTGATCTGATCACCTCATATATCATACAAGAATATTATAAACTAATTTGTTAACCCGTGTTAACAGAATTTGTTTATCCTATTCTTTTTCGGTAGTGTCTCGTCATCTGTCTGTATCATTACTACCCCTCAATTACATTGATGAAATCGGTGAGATTAACACTGACTAATAAAACTAATCTTTCTGATGGTGATGCAACAGATCTGTGTGCTTGGTTTGAAGAGATTATACGAGAGCTAGTGGCATTGTCCAGCTGTCCAAAATTAAGTCTGTGGGACCGTGACTCGAACATGGAACCTAGTAGTTGAAAGCCGAAAACCTTAACCACTAAACCAGCACTTCACAGCTGAATGATAGTAGACTGTTCATACGACAACATTTCTCGATTAGAAAATCTCACTCATAAGAAGTTGACTTTTTTGATACTGGCTTCTATTAACATCTTACCTTTCAGCTATAATGCACCCGACAATAAGTGGTATAGGATGCGATGTTTCTTCGGCTGTGATGAATGATAATGAAGATCTTAAGATGATTAATAATAATGGCGCACCCTCACGTCCCACTGCTGCTGAATCAAGTAAATTTCCTTATGCACTTTCTTTTTTGATGATTTACCTATCATTTGACGCGTTACGACTGTATGGTCGTTTTATTTTCTAACCACATAATAGATTTTGAAGTTAACTTGGTTACCTGTTATGAAAACTTGTTTCTTAAACAGTTAGTCACCGAATCTGTTCCATTTTTGTCTTACGACTTTGGGTCAGTTCGGTAGTATTAACTCTTACGAAATATATAGCCTACATCTTGTGACATACAAACTACAATAGCCTTATTGCTACGCCTCACTCAGTAGTTTGATAGGAATGGGTCTTGCCTAATGACATGAGTTTAAGAAATCAAGTCATAACTCTTGTAAGTGTTCCCTTCATATGTAGAGTGATGGAAGAATTATTGTGATTATTTGGAAACTAAAGGGAGCATATGTCGGTTAGTGTTCTATTTCCCCAACAAAACAAAATGTTGTGTCACTTCAGGTTATCAGGTTTTGAATTTCTAGAAAACCCAAAAGGAAATCGCTTCTTATAAATAGTTGTGTCAAACTCGTATCTTTAAATATTGACACCTGTCTCTGTGAACTTGCCATTTTGTTCCCTCCTTTTTGAATTATTATAAATTTTCTAACATCGAAGTTTGAAAACAAATACTTTGACTGGTTAGAAGGCGAGCAACTGCAAGTCGGTCTGATCGTTTGAGCAGTCTGTCTTAATAACGTACCATTTAACCATCCTTCTTGATGATAAAATCAAATTAGATCTAGTAACCACTATCGTCAACTGATAGATTCACTGTCTTTCAGTTTGACTATACGTAACTGCGTATAATCATTCGTCAAACCTATAGCTTCACTAAAGTTTGGATGAAATATAAAAGAAAGCTTTAGTGGTATAGATGAAACTCCATATTAAAAGTTCTTACGTGCCAAAAGGATACACTTCAATTGATAAAAGAAACCTAACCTAAAATTACAGGTTTGAAGTTAGAGATCCTATTTCATTATATTTAGCATATTTTGAAGTAAAATTCGCCTAATACTAAAGCCTGTTTGTGCTCCAGTTAGTTAGTATGAAATATCAATTAGTCTGTAGTCTGAATAAATACGGTGACCAGGAAAATGCAACTACTGTCACTATTTCGTACTAATATCACTAACAAAAGTTTAAGTCTAAGTTTCACTTTAAATCATCGGATAGACAGTTTGGTTCCAAAATTTTAATATTTGAAATTATAGATCGAAAGGAGTAAAATCTTATATTCTCTGAGTGATATTTCTTCTTGAACACATGACTCTGACCATTGATAAAGAAATAAATAATTAACTTTGTATGAATTTATTAACTAAGTTTTTAACTGGATTTTCATGCTGCCCACGAAGATTTATTTAGATAAACAATGTGTATTGATGCATGTGCTCACCATATTGTAAATGGTTTATTATTTAAATAGTTACACCACATTTCCACATTTGTGGTATTTATTATTTTACTCGATAAATACTATAAAGCATCAAACGAGATGATAATGTCATGCCCCCCCCCTAATAAGAGGAATTGTTTTTTTTTCATTTTAGTGTGAATTGAGATCTCTGGAAGAAAGCATCACAATGGAGCTATACTGCATTTTACAAAGTGGATATGATTTCCATTTTTTCCACTGGCTATCAAGCGAAACTAATTACGAACTTTGCACAAAGATAAACGATACTCTACAACTCCAACTGATCCATCCAAACACTATCTTGTTCATTGGTATTTTTTTGTTCAACGACTAATTATTCACTAAGCATATATATATATGCCAAATCGTGAGCTCATTTTCTTCTACAAATGTCTAATTTACAACCTTTTTCATTGCCAAATAAGTAACTATTCCTTTCTCTACACTTCCCCAAATCTTCAGTAATTCTACTTCATATTTTCATTTGTACATATTTTTTGCATATGTACCCATGAATATATATATATATATATATATATATATATATATATATATATATATTCAGATCGTTTCTTGTATGTTATAATTATATTTGAATATTTGATTACATTTGAGATCTTCAATTATCCTTGTTATTGACAGTTGGGGTATTCTTTTATGCATCAGTCCAGATTTTCAACCCATTTCAGTCCCAGAAGACCTTTAGTTCTGGTCACATTTTGTCGGTTAGGCAACAAACGTAATAACAACGTCCAACTGCTACCTCAATCCATTACCCTAGTTCTTTTGTCAAGACTTAGATTCACGTAGTTTATGTCCTGATCAAATGCACTGGTATCTGTCTTTTTGGTTAACCATACATATTATTTGCGGTCTGTCGTTGTTTGTCTCTACTGCTGTATACATACATATACAAAAGTTGTTTTTCTTGTCGATATTATTTCTGAGGGTTTCGCCTAACCAATAATATATTGATCGTATTTGAAGAATGTTATGAATTTGAAGGTATTAACCTTAACAGACTATTTGCTCATTCAGTAAAAATAAGTCTCAGTGCAAGGAATTCGGTTAAAATGTATATCTTGTAACAACATTTGACAGGTACAACCCCAAAATCTTTACATTAAAACAATTTTCTTATGACAAGAAGTAAGATCAGAAGTGTTAAAATCTTTTTAAAACATAATTTAAACTCCTAATGAGCTGAGTGATATATCTCATAATCGTTTATTGTTGTATATTGAACCATAATCAACACGTTTATCTGTTAATCCTATCGGATCGTATAAACCAAGAACTACATTTAGTTTCTTTAGGCTAACACGATGATGGGTATTTTTAGTTTCAGATATTTGAACTATCTAAAACCATATTCATTGACATGTTTCAATTTCCTTTTTGTACCTGATGGCACAATTCAAATATATTCACTTTTTTAAAAGTTCCGTTTAATATGACTGATGCATTGATCATAATCTTTGAAAAACTGGTAGTTGTTGAACTAATGAGATATTACTACTTACAGGAGGGAGTGTTTTTTTCTGACTAACACTTGCATCAATTAAATATATGTATATATATTATATATTACAGGATATATTTAAATAGTCCGTTCGTTGTTATATGTAGGAACTCTTTGTCCATTCCATCTCAAACCATTATGTATATTCTGTCCAACAATGGTTTTCAGCGAGTGTATGTTGCCTGTATATAAGTATCTCAACAACAATTCAAAATTAAGCTTTATCCTAATTACCAAAGAGACGTCTCTATTTTCGTACGTTTTTCGAGCCTTAACTGTATTGTTAACAGTATATAAAGGTGATATGTTGGTAATGTTATCTTGTGGGACAATACAACTGACACAGTATGAGAAAGCATGAGTATCTAACTGATAATTTATGGATGCAACTTCAAACTAATCATTTTACGAGTTCCAACTTTGTTTATCTACTTTTGTTTGTTTCACGACAATGTATTCCAAGTGTCATTCAAATCACGTACATAGACATAATTCTCTTCAATAGGTATTATCATATCTGGTATTACTTCATACCATTCTGTTTAATACATTTTATGTTTTCAATAAGTAACAATTTACTGCTTATTATGTAACTTCACTCAACATTGTAGACATTCTAGAGAATGTAGGATTTTTGCTTTGTTCACTATCTTACTGTTATCATTTTTAAATGCACTGCAATTTTGATATTTATAAACGTGAACGAAAAACTTGACCAAAATGAAATTTTTGTTGTTGTTGTTGTTGAATCTATTGTCTGTTAACGGAACTTGTCTTAATTTTTACCGAATATAATCTTGTACAAACTTTACTGTTCATTGGTCACTTTCTAATTTCTCATCAATGCCTGTCTATCATCTTCTTGTATACGTGTATTTTGTTTGCCTACATAATTCATAAATAACAATCCACAATGTATCGTCTATGCTGTATGTATGTCTATCTAACCATCCTTCCCTAGTCACACACTTCTGTATCTGTACTTATCGATTTTGCTTAATACGCAAATGTTTGTTTTCCTCTTCCCTTCCAATGGTATTCTTTCTTTTTTTTTAATATCTCGAACATTACTTTGATTGAATTTGAGATAGTGGCTAGCAATCATATCCAGGGCTAGCACTTCATCCTACGAGAAACTTCAAATTGATATAACTGTAATGCACTATTTGTGAGTTTAATAGTATTGAAATGTAGACTTTTTATGTCCATGAGGACCAAGACTCACTGTATATTTAAAATATGCAGATTTATAGTTCGGTAGCTGCTTGTGATAGTGTTGTGTTATGTAAGCTGTATGTAATCATACTGTCAACTTTAACATAATTCTTAAGAACAATATTCGATGACACAGTTTCACTTCAATAAGTACAAAACTCTAGAGATATCTTATCACGACCCGGGAGCTACTAACATCTCGTAACCTATGAAACTCAATGATCACTTTGAACCACCTATGGTCTACAACAATTTGAATCGGATTATTTGTATTGACTACATTAGCATGATGAGATGGATCTAAGAAAAGGAATGAAAATGTAGTACGATTGATAGTAAGAAACTCTAAAATTTGGAACTGTTTCACGGAGAAGGTATGGTAAGGTGTGAGGAGTTGGAGGCATGTTGGAACTCAAGATTTAAAGCAGGGGTGGGTGCATTTACATTATTTATTTAAAGATAAACAGGGCATAAACCATTCGATTTGTGTGAGGATTGGAATACAACCCGGGTACCCAAATCGAAGTAGGGCTACACCGGAGTCTTTGATCTAAAGGTCTGATCCACAAGACAGTGGAGCAACGTCAGGAGATGCAGTTCCATAGTAGCTAGTGACCAACGATTGGCTCATGCGACATTTCTTCCTTCCGGATCCTGGAGGCCATGTACACCATTGGCTCGGAATCAGGGTTTTCCAACTCCTTAGGTGGGTTCTCCATATCCAACAACCCAGTGAAAGCTCCGGACATTCGTTTTCGTCCTCTCAATTTCGTAGACAACACTAGTGCCGTGAGAAGCTAGTGAATAGGACTTCCTTGGCAATGGTTGTATGCACGTGGCCGTGTGAGAGCATTTCTAGAGGGAGAGCTGACTCCCCACTCTCGGTCATACCAGGGCAATGAATCTACATCATTGTGACTGTTTCTAAGCCATAATTCCCAACCTCAACTCGGAAGTCTACATATCCCATCACAGTTAAGACCTATCCCACATTCTGATTCGATCCTCTGTGGCACTGTTCTAAGTTACTCCGACACCAGTTAACATCGCCAACCGAAGAAGGTACCGTTTGGGTATACGTAATTTATCTTCCAATTCCCTCATCCAATGACGATTTACAACCCTGCCAACTGTTTTGCCATCTTTGCATTATATCTAACTCAATCTTAGTAATACTCATTTATTCGTTACACCAAACTCGTCCAATGCTCCCAAGATATGCATTGTAGAACAAGCTGCAGCCAACGCATGTCGTCTACTTTCTGAGATCGCGTTTTACAACCATAGTGTAATATAAAGCTGACCGCTTGTCAGTATACTGGTTTTTTGGTTAGCAGACACATCTCACCTACACTACAAGTAGATGGGAATCAATGCAATACAAAATATTTTCATACTATAGATTAACTTGCTGAATTTGTATCGTTGTTTGCCATAATCAAAATAGTGCATGGGAACTTAAGATGCTAGTGGAACTATCCTTCTAGATAAGTGCAAAAAAGAAATAGAATTTTCAAATTTCATCTCTTCAATTCAGCATAAAATGTAAATTCTTATATTTCTCACGTTTTGCAGTAGACTTGTCAATACAGTATATGCTTATAACAAATAGGGTTGCTATAGTTTGGTAATATTTCATACTGAACATTATAACAACATCAGTAATATTCAATAAATGATAATAATGTATTGAGAAAAAAGAAACGAAATTTAAATCCTTTAGAGATAACAAGAATATCATAGTCAACCAATGACTTTGAAAGCGGAAATCAACTGTTGACACATAGTTACTAAAATAAATAATCATATGACTCGTATTTAAAATTTAATTTTGTAAATGACGTCAGTTTTAAAACAATAAATGGATAATGAAATAAAAACAAACAAAACAAACTTGCTTATAATCAGAAAATGTATGTGTTGATTTTACTGATTATTAAGTTATTTAATTAACAGTTAATTAGAGTAGAATTTCATGAATATTAATTGTTGTACTTTTCTTTCCTCTCTCCCTTATTACGGTTGCAATGAAACGCAACTCGATTTCGTAATTGTGGCAATTTGCTTAGCCACCAATCTGAATAAAGCGGGAATTATTATAGCCGTCATTTTTGTAAGCAATGGTGGTCGGCTTTCTTTGTTCCGTGTTTTTTTTTCCTCTATTTCTTTTGTGTAGCTATATAATTTAATGTTTCAGTGTGCTAAAATGCTGCAGTTAATGTGATACTCTAAATGTTGGCGCAAATTTTCTTTGATTCGATTTATGTGAAGACTGGGTTACTGCCTGGTTACGCAAACCGAAGCAGGTGACAAGTGTATGATATAAAATTACATTGAGAATAAATAGAATAATACTTTATTAATTTGCTTCCTATATATGTATTTTTTCAACTGATTTAAT